GAGATACGAGAACATCAGCGTCTGTATCAGGAATAATCCAGTTTTACATCACTGTCGGACATATATTAGGTAGCAACCCTAACCCTAGCACCTTATCATTCATGTTTCTGTTGAGATACGAGAACATCAGCGTCTATATCAGGAATAACCCAGTTTTACATCAAAACTGGACATATATCAGATAGAAACCCTAACCCTAGCACCTTATCATTCATGTTTCTGTTGAGATACGAGAACATCAGCGTCTATATCAGGAATAATCCAGTTTTACATCACTGTCGGACATATATTAGGTAGAAACCCTAACCCTAGCACCTTATCATTCATGTTTCTGTTGAGATACGAGAACATCAGCGTCTGTATCAGAAATAACCCAGTTTTATATCACAATTAGACATATATTGGGTAGAAACCCTAACCCTAGCACCTTATCATTCATGTTTCTGTTGAGATACGAGAACATCAGCGTCTGTATCAGGAATAATCCAGTTTTACATCACTGTCGGACATATATTAGGTAGAAACCCTAACCCTAGCACCTTATCATTCATGTTTCTGTTGAGATACGAGAACATCAGCGTCTGTATCAGGAATAACCCAGTTTTACATCACTGTCGGACATATATTGAGTAGAAACCCTAACCCTAGCACCTTATCATTCATGTTTCTGTTAAGATACGAGAACATCAGCGTCTGTATCAGGAATAACCCAGTTTTACATCACTGTCGGACATATATTAGGTAGAAACCCTAACCCTGGCACCTTATCATTCATGTTTCTGTTGAGATACGAGAACATCAGCGTCTGTATCAGGAATAACCCAGTTTTACATCACAATTAGACATATATTAGGTAGAAACCCTAACCCTAGCACCTTATTATTCATGTTTCTGTTGAGATTTCGTGCCATCTGCGTCTGATTCAAGAATAACCCAGTTTTACATCACTGTCGGACATATATTGGGTAGAAACCCTAACCCTAGCACCTCACGATTCATGTTTCTGTTGAGATACGAGAACATCAGCGTCTGTATCAGGAATAACCCAGTTTTACATCACTGTCGGACATATATTAGGTAGAAACCCTAACCCTAGAACCTCACGATTCATGTTTCTGTTGAGATACGAGAACATCAGCGTCTGTATCAGAAATAACCCAGTTTTACATCACAATTAGACATATATTAGGTAGAAACCTTAACCCTAGCACCTTATCATTCATGTTTCTGTTGAGATTTCGTGACATCTGCGTCTGTTTCAAGAATAACCCAGTTTTACATCACTGTCGGACATATATTGGGTAGAAACCCTAACCCTAGCACCTTATCATTCATGTTTCTGTTAAGATACGAGAACATCAGCGTCTATATCAGGAATAACCCAGTTTTACATCAAAACTGGACATATATCAGATAGAAACCCTAACCCTAGCACCTTATCATTCATGTTTCTGTTGAGATACGAGAACATCAGCGTCTATATCAGGAATAATCCAGTTTTACATCACTGTCGGACATATATTAGGTAGAAACCCTAACCCTAGCACCTTATCATTCATGTTTCTGTTGAGATACGAGAACATCAGCGTCTGTATCAGAAATAACCCAGTTTTACATCACAATTAGACATATATTGAGTAGCAACCCTAACCCTAGCACCTTATCATTCATGTTTCTGTTGAGATACGAGAACATCAGCGTCTGTATCAAGAATAACCCGGTTTTACATCACTGTCGGACATATATTAGGTAGAAACCCTAACCCTAGCACCTTATCATTCATGTTTCTGTTGAGATACGAGAACATCAGCGTCTGTATCAGAAATAACCCAGTTTTACATCACAATTAGACATATATTAGGTAGAAACCTTAACCCTAGCACCTTATCATTCATGTTTCTGTTGAGATTTCGTGACATCTGCGTCTGTTTCAAGAATAACCCAGTTTTACATCACTGTCGGACATATATTGGGTAGAAACCCTAACCCTAGCACCTTATCATTCATGTTTCTGTTGAGATACGAGAACATCAGCGTCTATATCAGGAATAACCCAGTTTTACATCAAAACTGGACATATATCAGATAGAAACCCTAACCCTAGCACCTTATCATTCATGTTTCTGTTGAGATACGAGAACATCAGCGTCTATATCAGGAATAATCCAGTTTTACATCACTGTCGGACATATATTAGGTAGAAACCCTAACCCTAGCACCTTATCATTCATGTTTCTGTTGAGATACGAGAACATCAGCGTCTGTATCAGAAATAACCCAGTTTTATATCACAATTAGACATATATTGAGTAGAAACCCTAACCCTAGCACCTTATCATTCATGTTTCTGTTGAGATACGAGAACATCAGCGTCTATATCAGGAATAACCCAGTTTTACATCAAAATTGGACATATATCAGGTAGAAACCCTAACCCTAGCACCTTATCATTCATGTTTCTGTTGAGATACGAGAACATCAGCGTCTATATCAGGAATAATCCAGTTTTACATCACTGTCGGACATATATTAGGTAGAAACCCTAACCCTAGCACCTTATCATTCATGTTTCTGTTGAGATACGAGAACATCAGCGTCTGTATCAGAAATAACCCAGTTTTACATCACAATTAGACATATATTGAGTAGAAACCCTAACCCTAGCACCTTATCATTCATGTTTCTGTTGAGATACGAGAACATCAGCGTCTGTATCAGGAATAACCCAGTTTTACATCACAATTAGACATATATTAGGTAGAAACCTTAACCCTAGCACCTTATCATTCATGTTTCTGTTGAGATTTCGTGACATCTGCGTCTGATTCAAGAATAACCCAGTTTTACATCACTGTCGGACATATATTGGGTAGCAACCCTAACCCTAGCACCTCACGATTCATGTTTCTGTTGAGATACGAGAACATCAGCGTCTGTATCAGGAATAACCCGGTTTTACATCACTGTCGGACATATATTAGGTAGAAACCCTAACCCTGGCACCTTATCATTCATGTTTCTGTTGAGATACGAGAACATCAGCGTCTGTATCAGGAATAACCCAGTTTTACATCAAAATTAGACATATATTAGGTAGAAACCTTAACCCTAGCACCTTATCATTCATGTTTCTGTTGAGATTTCGTGACATCTGCGTCTGATTCAAGAATAACCCAGTTTTACATCACTGTCGGACATATATTGGGTAGAAACCCTAACCCTAGCACCTCACGATTCATGTTTCTGTTGAGATACGAGAACATCAGCGTCTGTATCAGGAATAACCCAGTTTTACATCACTGTCGGACATATATTGAGTAGAAACCCTAACCCTAGTACCTCACGATTCATGTTTCTGTTGAGATACGAGAACATCAGCGTCTGTATCAGAAATAACCCAGTTTTACATCACAATTAGACATATATTAGGTAGAAACCTTAACCCTAGCACCTTATCATTCATGTTTCTGTTGAGATTTCGTGACATCTGCGTCTGATTCAAGAATAACCCAGTTTTACATCACTGTCGGACATATATTGGGTAGAAACCCTAACCCTAGCACCTTATCATTCATGTTTCTGTTGAGATACGAGAACATCAGCGTCTGTATCAGAAATAACCCAGTTTTATATCACAATTAGACATATATTGAGTAGAAACCCTAACCCTAGCACCTTATCATTCATGTTTCTGTTGAGATACGAGAACATCAGCGTCTATATCAGGAATAACCCAGTTTTACATCAAAATTGGACATATATCAGATAGAAACCCTAACCCTAGCACCTTATCATTCATGTTTCTGTTGAGATACGAGAACATCAGCGTCTATATCAGGAATAATCCAGTTTTACATCACTGTCGGACATATATTAGGTAGAAACCCTAACCCTAGCACCTTATCATTCATGTTTCTGTTGAGATACGAGAACATCAGCGTCTGTATCAGAAATAACCCAGTTTTACATCACAATTAGACATATATTGAGTAGCAACCCTAACCCTAGCACCTTATCATTCATGTTTCTGTTGAGATACAAGAACAACAGCGTCTGTATCAGGAATAACCCGGTTTTACATCACTGTCGGACATATATTAGGTAGAAACCCTAACCCTAGCACCTTATCATTCATGTTTCTGTTGAGATACGAGAACATCAGCGTCTGTATCAGAAATAACCCAGTTTTATATCACAATTAGACATATATTGAGTAGAAACCCTAACCCTAGCACCTTATCATTCATGTTTCTGTTGAGATTTCGTGACATCTGCATCTGATTCAAGAATAACCCAGTTTTACATCACTGTCGGACATATATTGGGTAGAAACCCTAACCCTAGCACCTTATCATTCATGTTTCTGTTGAGATACGAGAACATCAGCGTCTATATCAGGAATAACCCAGTTTAACATCACTGTCGGACATATATTGAGTAGAAACCCTAACCCTAGCACCTTATCATTCATGTTTCTGTTGAGATACGAGAACATCAGCGTCTGTATCAGGAATAACCCAGTTTAACATCACCGTAGGACATATATTGGGCAGAAACCTTAACCCTAGAACCATGTGATTCATGTTTCTGTTGATATTTGGCGACATTAGCGTCTGATTCAAGAATAACGCAGCTTTATGTCACTGTCGGACATATATTGGGTAGTAACCATTACCAAAGCCCCTCACGATTCATGTTTCTGTTGAGATAATATGGTGACATCATTATTTTGGTACTGTCTAACTTACCATCTGTTTGGATGTAAAATCATAATCTGTAGCATGGATTGCCAGGATTGTAATGTAAGCTGTATCAAGGCCGCTGGTAAATGTATTGTGGACAAGGCAAATCAGGGGCTGACAAGATCAGCAAAACCCATGACATTGGGCACATTAACACAATCAGCCATTTGACATCATGTCGTTCGGTGATGAATACATGAACACATTCATGCCTATTGTTTATCCTTGTCATAATCAATCAACTACAAACAAAATTCATCATTTTGCTAGTTCTTTATTGTTGAGGAAACAATAAACATAAATGTAACACATGAAAAGAGTTTTGCCTCAAAATGCTTAAAACAGTGTAAGTGAAGAAATTCCATGCACAGTATATTTGTAAGATGCTAAATTCACCATATATCATAATTGATATTATGAATGAAAAAAACACACCTCACATTATGAAACAATATATAATATGAATCATATGTTTAGATGTACAGTACTGTCCATGAGTATAGGGAGAAACACTGTCCCTCCACACAGTAGCGAACTGATGCTACTCCCTGCTGATCTTTTCACTACTCAGGATGTCAATGCTGACTTCAACACAGAACTCTTCTTCTCAACACTCCTTCTTTCCAGAAACGTACAGGGCATAGTTGCTCTCCCTTCTCAAAGCACACTGTATTGGGAGCTGTATATGTAGTTTAGCGTTGGTGTAAACTGATACCATCAAGTTTCATTACAGCATGGTAGTTGCCCTGAAAAGGTTGAAAATATTCACATAAGTGATGTCATCACCATTGATTGAACATTTTTCATGGAAAAATAACTTATGATTTAACTTCAATATAAATAAATCCGCGTAGTACACCTTATTTTTACATTTATACCCACATTAATTTAAAATTATATTGGAGTCAATTCTTTTAAATAAATATGTCAATATTAACAACTTCATAGACTCCTTCTTTAATTACTTACATAAAAAAACAGGAAGACAACAATAGAAAATCAATGACATTGTTAAACCCATATATAATGAAAAACAAGCCCCTCCCATTCTATTATCAGCCAATCAGGAAACAGTTGACTGTTTGTGGGTATAGCATACATTTATTTTAGGTTCATGGCAACATCAAGTTATGTTCCATTAAAAATGCCTGTAAAGATAGTATAGTTTAATATCATGTTGTCTCACTTAAATTCAAAACTTAATGGGAAGTTATAATTTGCAGTTATCTCAACTGGCAAGGAATTTTTCTCTAGCCAGTTAAATGTGTCCAGGATACAAAATTAAGATGGTGTTATTACCACAAATATTTTCTTGAACAAAAATGAAAATATCTGATGATAATTTGTGTACTTTTTGTAATTCACATCCAGAAACTGATATGCATTTATTTTTTGGTAAAAGATTTCTGGCTTCTGAACACAGACTCATAATTTGTATCTGGATATTCGTGTGAAGGAAAATGTGATAACAGATGATAATTTGATCTGATTTTGTTATTTTCAAAGTATGTAAGTGTAAGGTTCTTAAAATACAACCAAATTTCTAACATTTTGTGAGGGAGATGACTGATACAGTTAGACATGAATTTCGAAAAAATATGTACTTCAACAAAAACCTGCAAAACAAATTTTATACACAGTATACTGACTCCGAGTGGACCATTCCTTCTTTTAGCCCTTACTACCGAGAGCAAGACAGGGTAACAACAAGTACCATCTTTTAACGTCTTTTGGAATGATGCTTCAAGGGATCGAATTTCTGACCATCCGCTCTCCGAGCAGACACTCTACCAGTACACCATAGAGGCAGTCAATCAGACTTGGAATTTGATGAATTTCAATGAGTTAAAGTAACTAAGTTGACAATCCATCAGTTTATTGTTATTTTCTGAGAACTAACAATCAACAGTACTTTTCTTATGTTCACCATTTTGTTACTTTTGTTCATTAGTGTAGAAAATTCTGGACGGGAAGCATTTTATCTGGACAGGAATATTTGCAAAGTTGCCCTTCCGGGAATTTTATACGCTGCTGTTACATAACGACAGGCTTAACATCAAATCACAATTCTGACATCATTGCTGGGATGATTCATGCCAAGTTTCAGCTTCATAGGCCTTGTAGCTCTAGAGGAGATGTTGAAAGTGTAATCGTTAACGACATATATACTAGCAGAAAAAGGTAACTTTTCTTAATAAAAAGTCCAACAAATTTCAATCTCATTAAAATCAGATCTTAGTTCTGGCTACCGCTAAAAAATGATCTGAGGACATCCCATTATGGGTCACGTCAGCATGACCTTTCATCCAACCAATGAGAGCATCACTTAACAGATCCTGAAAGTGACAGTCAAAATGTGTTTTCTAATCATGCATCCTCGAAATATTTAACAGAGGGTATTCCGAATGACAGTTACGGGTTTTATGATTATATCCATACAATTTAGGCCATCTATAAGTCATTCCAGAATGTTGTTTTGGTCAGTTTTAAATTTATTTAATCGAGAATACGTCAAAATATGTTTCAAGGCGTAGTTGCCAGTTTGAAACTAGTGCAGTAAAGCTCGAGATAGCTACCTTCTGATTGGCAAATGTCAATTTCAGTCATTGCATTGGTCGGTCAATGATCACGAAAGGTCGTTCCAACGTGACCCGTAATGGGATGTCCTCAGATCTTTGGTTAGCGGTAGCGAAAACTAAGATCAGATTTTAATGAGATTGAACAAAACTAAGTTTAATCTGAAATTAAATAATGCATCTTTCAATATGCATATTGATGAAGACATCTCCTCAGTTTTAAGGTCGTGATTCACAATTTGCATGCAAACGTTTATAGACTGTGCATAATTTGTGTGTTTGCATGTTTGTTCGGAGCAAGGTATTTACACAAGTTTTCATAATGTAAACAGCACACAATGATTGTTTAGCTTTCTGGGTCTAATAAAATCTTTTTTCTTTTTGTTCAACTGTAATTATTAATGCTGTCACAGCTTGATGACATGTCGGAAACACAAAATGCGCAAAACGAAGTTGCCAAACATTTTTAATGTTCATCGAATCACAAATATCATCTGCCACATTAATAATCGGAAAATTCTTGGGTTAAGACGAATTAGTGGCAGAACTGTACGTTACCGGTTGAGAGAGCACAACATCCGGTCCCAACATTCAGCAATATGCCTAATTTTGCTTACACAGGACTATCAGTCACACTTGGTGTAGACAGCATCTGAGGTTCAGAAGAAAAACAGGGACAGTACACTGTTCACAAATGAGTGAGGGTTTCATCTGAACAGCTCTGATGGTCGTGCAAAGGTCTACATGCATACTGGAGAATGTTTTAGCAACTCTTGCATTACTTATCATCATCAGTTTTGGGGTGGAAGTGTGATGGTATGGGGTGGCATCACAACTCATGGGAAAACACAACTCATCATTGTTATGAGGACATCGTTTGAGATCATGTTCTTGCCTTTGTGCACATGCATGGACATAATGTCATGTTGCAGCAGGATAGTGCCCGCCTACAAGTTGCACCCCTCTTTGGGGGCGTGTCTCTCCGTCTCCAATTACCAGGAATGGATTTTGTCAATGAATTTGTTATGATAAAACATTGATGAGACAAAAGACCAAATATTATGTTGTAATTTACAATAACATAACATTTACACTACTTAATACACAGCAGTTACTTTTTTCCATTAGCCATGACATAAGCTTATTTGAACCTTCGCTTTGTGTAAGCTACAAGTGATCATCATCATTTCTACAAAGTTAAGTTTAAGCTTCCTGGAGTGTGTAGTTTCTCTTTTTTTATTTTCATTCTTAATTGTTTTTCAAGAAGCAATTTCAGCCCCTCCATTTCTCCAATTTGAATCCCCACCATTGGAGAATTGATTCCAACCAAATATGGTTGATATCTATCTCTTAGTTCAAGAGAGGAATATGGCCAAATTACTCCTATTTGGCCCTGACCCTTGGGGGGTCAGCCCTCTCCATTTGTACAATTTTTAATCCCCAGCATTGGAGAATGCTTCCAACCAAATATGGTTGATATCTATCTCTTAGTTCCAATAAAGAAGTCGTTTAAAGCAACATAACCAAATTACCCCCATTTGGCCCCGCCACCCAGCCCTTTGGGGGGTCAGCCCCACCATTTGTACAATTTTGAATCCTCACCACCTAGGGATGCTCCCAGTCAAATTTCGTTAATTGTCAATTTGTGGTCAAAAGAAGAATTTTTTTGAAAAAATCGTTGACATACGGACGACGGATCCCACGGTATGGCATAAGCTCACCTTGGTGAGCTAATAGTTGTGTCAGGATGACAAACACCAGACAAGCAGGCCATGTTGTTTGTATTCAAAAAGTATTTTGTTTTATTTTGTATATTTGTCTTATCTGGAAAAATAGTCTATGCTATATTACAACCAGTTTGTTTAACAACATGCAGACATGAATCCTACGTTTCGAGGCGATCAATGTTACCTTTGTTGGGTGCAACTGGACCAAACAAGCTATTTTCACCAGGCTTCTTGTAACTGGACAGTGAAACCTGTGAACATTGTATACGAAGAATGAAAATCTTCATAAGAATAAACACAACACATGACACCACAGAACTGAATGAACAAATTGTAAAATAAAACACTGGGACAACCACATAACTTAATCCGAGTCCCATTGTGGTGCTACACATGCCAGGTGTCATTAAGTTTTAGTTTCCTTGGTTTCTGAGAAGAAAGTTCTTAAAGTTGAACAAATCAGAATTGGAAGCTACAAAAATACCTTTGCAAATGAAGGTTAAAAAAGTGTGATAAACATCCATCAACCTCTTCATGACAACATTGCTAAGGTTATCTAGGATAAACAAAAATATGCCTCACTACGAACCGTTTGAATGGGCCTGAAACTGATCAGAATTTATTTTTAGGGAATTAAATACTGGTAAAGGTCATCATAAATAGATTAACAAGATTATGCAGAAATAAGTAACAAATGTTCAGATACACCAAATGATATGAATATTTAATAATGATTGACAAATGAGGAAAAACGAGTGAATTGTTTATGACCACTTAAATTAATGGTGCTTGGTCCAGGCAGGCAAGAGGTTGATAGCACTAACAACTATCCATGTAATTGGGGTGTAATGTCACCAAATCAGCCAGGTCACACAAAACTGACATTCCATATAGTTGCCCTTTGGGAATGTTAAGAATCAAATTCTGTGACTACGTTTTTGAGACTGAATTACTTGGATCATGTCCGTGACAATCCAAACAGTGTTAGTATACCTGTAATCTAGATACAAGGGTGCATGCAAAGGGTATGACCATGGCATGATAATCTGAATCTGAAATCTGGAAAGAACAGTAGATCTATTTTATACCATTGTTGGAGTGCATAATAACATACATATATAACCAATCATAGCTTCACTTCCAAAAAGATTCATAGGAAATATTGCAGGTACAAGGTTATTACACTTACTGGTACATTCCATTATTAGGACACAAAAAGGTGAAAGATGATGGCATGACCAAATGGAACATATGATCACTGAAACATAGCACATTGGAGATTGAAATATAGTATCAGAGCCTGTTAAATGAATAACACCATGATACATGAGTACCTGGACAAAATAACATTCAATATGGCTGCAATGTTGTCACCAAAAAAAATCACAGACACAGTTTACCAGATTCAACCTAATTGAGGCCAGATGTGCCCATTGTATTGGTGCCATTAAACTGACTCATGTAACAGAGCTCCAGATAACTTTTTGAGCAATTCAATTTTTACTTTAGGGTTTCTATTTTAATTGGGTTATTACATTTTTCATTGGGTAACCAATATTTTTTCACTCATCTATTCATCACTCTCTTGGGTCTTTCCCAAAATTAGTGAACATTTTAAGATTTCAAAAAAATGAAATAATGTTCTAAATACATAGGTTTGACTCAGAAAGTAAATTAGCTTGTAATTGTGTTTCAGAAATTAGCTCCTTTGTATGCATGCTGAAAAAGCTTCATTGGGCATTTACGCGAGCTGTTTTAATAATTTGAGTTTTTCATTTAATGCATGCGTTTCTGTACACAATTTTATGGAAAGTAATTGGGTTTTAAATAATTTTGGGGGGTATTTTACACAAATACGCTGCTTATCTGTAGCTCTGATGTAATAATTTTTCCCTTCATTACCTTTTGGCTGTCCCCTCACATGACTGACAGAAATACTGTTCGAACAAACTACCCTGGGTATAGGTGTTAAAATGGCTCTGTAGCTTCCCTGTACTTTTTCACGGAATATATTATTACAACAAAAAGGCAATACAAGGTTATGATAAATTAGCAAAAGAAACAAAACTATTTATCTACAGAACAGACTTTCTCACAGCATCTTGACCAATTAAAAGGATGACAGTATATGCAAGAAGACAAATTCACCATTATCCCCTAAATATTAAATACTTGCTATGGAAACTAAATATCCCAAATTATCAAAAGGCACCAGTTCAACACTAGACCTATCTATGTGCCATGCTTGTTAAGGAAATATTGTAAGTTTTTTTTAATCTGCCCAGAAAGGAGCACTACCCTCATTTTCAGTATGAGTCAAAGTCTCAATTTTTAAAAAATCCTAAACTACCAAAAGGCACCAGTTCAACACTAGACCTATCTATGTTCCATGCTTGTTAAGGAAATATTGTAAAAAAAATTTAATCTGCATAGAAAGGAGAATTTTCAGTATGAGTCAAAGTTGTGGCATCTCAAAATATTAATTTTTAAAAAATCCTAAACTATCAAAAGGCACCAGTTCACCACTAGACCGATCTGTGTGTCAAGTTTGGTGAAGAAATATTGTAGATTTTTAAGGTATGTTCCAAGAACGATCACTACCCTCCTATTTCAGTCAAAGTTGTTGCCATGGAAACTAAAGATAAAACTAAGATACATTTTACAAAAATCCAAAACTATCAACAGGCACCAGGTCACCACTAGGCCTATCCATGTACCATGATTGGTGAAGAAAATGGTAAACGTTTTTTCAAAATCTTACACAGAAGTATGAATGCAAGGACTGACCATGTCCATTTTAATACCCCCGCAAAACATGTTGTGGGGGATAATAATTGGTAATGAAACGAGTCAAAGAACACATTCATCATGACTGCTGCAGCAGCCCATGAAGACAAAATGTTGCAGTTCAAAATATAAGAAAAACTTGCAAAATATGACCCTGTTATTGGGTTTACCAAATAATTACTGTATATCAAATTTCATAATGTAAATGCAGAAGTGGCTTTCTAAAGGGTGAAAAGTATATGTTCAATATGGTTGCCATGTCTTGACAGCTTGAAGTTGTATTGGCATCATGTTAGTGGGATCAAATACACAAAATCTCAGCTTATTGAAAATATGATTTTCAGAGAAGATATCGAAAACACAAACAAACTTCATAAGGTATGTGAAAGTTTAAGGCCATAGAAGGCACAGGTAATACAGTCATCTAAGAAGCCACCTCAATTTGCTGGGCAGAGTTGCATCCCTGTCTGTCTCACAGTCCTTGAACCATATTATTTTCCCTTCCGCCCAGCCCATCTCACTGGGTCTACTTTTAAACTAAAATGAATACAAAATGTTTCTATCAATATTTTACATTTTCAGAGACTAAGCTGCATCTCTTTCATATGCCAGAAATCTATGACAATGGGTTCAAATCCCATAATTACCATGATTGTTTTCCTTGGTTTGTCAGCACCATTTCCACGCTGGTGGGTCTCATCAAGTGGTAAATATCTAAGATGTTCCTCCCAGATCAAGCAAAAAATACACCAATGTAATCCCCATAACACATATCAAATGATATGGCTGTGTAATATGCAAAAGTGATATTTTGTAAATGGCCTCATGTTTTAGAATATCATTGCTGAGATTTCAGTTTCATAGGCCTTGTAGATTCAGAGGAGGTTTTGAAAGTGTACAAGTTAGTTATGGACAGATGACAGATAATGCACCATGACATAAGCTCATTTGACTTCAAATTGGATATTCCTGTATTCATGATAGCCTGTAGTTTGATTACAGTATACCAACTTACACCTCATCACTTAATAAATGGCCTAAGGTCTGAGGGAAAGTAATACTTTCACAATTGCCATAATCAGGTCAGTAAGTTTGCATAGTGAATGGTTGAGTTGGCTTAATGCAACTGAGAACAGTGTTTCAGTAATATCACAGTGTGTCAGCTGATGATCCAGTGAGGAAAGACTGATATAATGAGGTACCGATAATACTACAAATGTGGTATTTCATATCATGACATCCATGATTTAATTTGATGTATGATGATTCCTCTATTGTTATCCCTGACTTTATCATGGGTGTTTCAATATCCCGTGTTATCCAAACACTAATTATATAGACAACAAGAATCGCTTCTGACTTGACACTTTACTCTCGGAGGCCATGATCTTAAAAAGCCCGGATGTACAGGGATCAGTTATTGTACTGGATTGTGATATGATAGGGAGCAGTCATTACCAGATATTGCAACATCCCTTCTT